AGGAGGAGGCGCGCCGCGCCTTTGCCCCCCCCAGTCACGGGCTGGCAGCCGGAGCGGGGGGAAGGAGCCCTTGGAGCGGTAACCGCCGGCCGAAGGCAGCGGGAGAGGGAAGGGGCAGGGCGGGACAGAGGTGCGGTCACTGGCGCAGTGTTCTCCCCGGGTCTCGGAGCATCGTCCGTGGCCGTATTTATTCCCGTTTTCTGGAAGCCAAGGAAAGGTCGTTCCTGTTTCAAGGTCACGCGGTGGCTAGTGCCGAACAGGTCTCTCCGGTCCGAATTCATTCTGAAGTCCGTCATTCCCTATAAAGCAAACAAGCGGAGATTGTTTGATATGAGGTAGATGTTGGAGTCGTGCCAGCACTATAATTACCCGGTGACAAGGTGTTAGGATCAGGGATGCGGGAGGGTTCTCTGATGCCAGGAAGGCCAGGCAGCCGTGGAGCAGAGAAGTGGAGCTGGGCCAGGCAGTTTAGCCAGCAGTGTATGGGGGAAAGAAGCGACGACTGAGGTAAGGCAGTGCAGTGCATGAGAGAAAGCATGACCGCTGTGCTATTACTTATAGCACAGTAAAATCTCAGAGCTCTCTTCATTTTTTTTCCTTTCTTTTTGATTGCACTATGATTGGGGGGGCCGTGGTTCATTACAGGCTAGTTTTCTTCTCTGTTCTTTCAATGAGAAAAAGACAGCAAAACCAGGCTATAACATCTGTGTTTGAAGGAAAGAGATGGAATCCAAGATGAGAGACAAATTTTTGAAGACAAAAAAAGAAAGCCTATAGGTGGAGACTTCAGTACTGTATGTCCATATTTTTCAGTTCTCCTGACAGGAGAAAAACAAAAAGACACCTGGCACATCACTTCATGGCTTTCATCAGCTTGTTTGTGAGATTATACTACTGTAATAAATATATTCCTAGTTTACTAATTTTTTTAAAATAAATGGAAAGTCAGTAAGGCTATTGTTTATAGCATACAAGGTGCTGTAAGTAATCAAAAGGGGGAAGGAGTATAAAAAGAGGATGGGGGAAATGGGGAATAAATTTAAGTCCATCAGGAGTTAAATTTGAGAGAAGGAGTTGCAAAAATAATCAAGAACGTTTTGGAATTGCAAAGGCGTAAAAAGTGGGAGCAAAGGGTATGACAGGTGTTGGAATGAAAAGAATGCTTATGAGAGCATTTTAATATTTTTGTGTGCATGTTTAATGGAGAAAGGAGTCTGAAAGTAAAATCAAAAATTAAGAATAAACATTACCATCTGTAGGGCCTGAGAGAATCAACTAAAATTATAATCTGAGCAGTGGATATCTTTCTGATGTGCTCTGTAAGTATTTGTAATATTTAGGTGTTATTGAGATTCAAACAAATTTCATACTTTACTGTCTGTACATTGTCTTTCCCAAGTCTTCTTGCAACAGGTAGAACGAACTAATACCCTAAGTATCTATGTCTTTGAAACTGTACGCCACTGCCATATTATGGTACCCTGAACCCTTTTCTGTCCTGTGGAGAAATTACATTTTGACAGTCCCATGGGGGAAGCAAGTACATGCCAGCTGCCTTTCAAATACTTTCTGGCACTGCTAAGTGGCTCATGTAACAACAGAGTTCTGCCTGCTTTTCAGCAAGGGCATTAATTTGAGCCTTCGTTTTCTGCTTGAGTGCCAGCTTTCAGAGAAGTTGGATGGGTTTAGTTACCTCTCAGACTTTTTTACTCCTATTTTAAATTGCCAAAGGAGTTCAAAAGTTATCAGGGCCAGATTCGTAGGTTAAGTTATAAATGTAAAAAGTGGTTGCATTCTGAAGTGAGAATACAGTTATTGTATGGGTATTTTATGAGGTATTTGATGCTTACCAGAAAGTGTTCATCTTAGCACTGTGGAAAGCAACAGGTGGATGAAAGGAGTTTGGTATGAAATGCTCAGCCGCTGTACTGTGCTCAGTGGGAGTAAGGAGGACATGTAAGCTCGTGCTTCATTTCTGCAAACTACTGTTTGCCACACAACCAGAAGAGGCAGTGAGCTTTGGCAGCCATGTTAGGTAAGGGCAGCAAGATGCCACTTAGGTGGCCATCCTTTTTCCGGGCAGGAAGTCCATAAAAATTTTGATAGCCATCATAGCTGAGGGCAGAAACAGCCTGCTCTATAGCCATCTTGGATAAGGGAAAGGGAAGGGAGGTGACTGTCACATTTGTGCCCTAAAGAGCTGGTGTCTGTTTCAGGACGATGTAATGCAGTGGAGGTAAAGTTGATGTGTATACCTGCCAAACATTTGGATTTTGGCTTGAGTGTGTCAAAGTGCAGGAGTGATTCTTTGGTCTTAACGACTGGATTAAAAATAAGATCTTTTGCTGAAGGAAGCCTGTTGTGAATTCTAAGTTAACTGTAACTGACTAGAGAAGAAAAACACTGAGCATCATTATAGGCAACTTGGTGCCAGACTTCTGAGTATCATGCAGTGATGATCTAATGGGCTGCCAAAATATTAATGTATATCAGATTGAGGTTGTCATTGGGAAGATGTTGTGAACCAGTTGCTTAGTGGGAGATCCTGACTCCAGAGATTGTTGCATTTGTAATGAATGAGGCATACTGTATAGCAAAAGTTCGGTTTCTAGTGTAAAAATAAAGATGCAAACTGATAATGAAAACAGAATAAACAGGTAAGGAGAAAATTGGAGATGCACGGTTTTTTACTGAGTTCTCATCCCTGAAACTCATTCATCAGCAATTTACTAAATAAATTTCTTATTCATTTTCAGTAATACAACAAATTTTATGTATAATTGCACTCTTAAGACTTAGTAAATTTAAAAATATGACAGTTTATAAAGGCATTTACTGCTACATAGAGCAATGTGGAAAAGTTTGAACTGTTATTTACATCCTAATGTTGTATCTTTTGCAGAACAAACTTGCCTCAAAAGTAGCTTCTGAGACATTCAGAATCAAGCTAAACTGTCAAAAAGTAAAGAATTGTTTCAGAGCAGTAGGTTCATTTTCCTGGAGCTAGAAATGTGTCTGTTTGAATGTTAACACTACAGGAATTTAGTTCACAGCAATCACTTCGTGTCCGCTTGAGGACTGAGGGGAGAATGAGCTGCCTGGCATGTCATTCTAACTAGCTCAGACCGATATTTGCTGATCTATAGTTGCTTTTGAGATGCAGTGACTGAAAGTGTAATCACTTTTTCCTTGAGTAGGAAAAATGATCTCACAAAGGAAGTTAAACAAGGAGTGGTAACATTACTGTGACATTGTAGTGATTTTACGATTTGTTGAAATATTCTGATTGCAATTCTTGATATAATTCACAGTATTGTGTGCGTGCACGATAGTGCGTATTGCTGGACAGTCACAGGCGTGAATGGTGTAGTTGCAGGGTATGTCAAGACAGCGGCAATCCAATTTGAGTTTTTGGATACCAGTTTGCTTTAGCAGCTGCTGAATACATGCACATTCTACAAATGTGTTCTCTGGTAGTGTGTTTCTGTCCATGCTGGTGTGTCATGAGAAGTGAATGGAGCAAGATGGTGTCCTGGAAAACAAGAACAGGTGTTTGCTAACAAGTGATTTGCTGGTTTTATGATCATGTTGAAAAAGAGCCAAATTATCCTAGATTAATAAAGAACATAGATAACATGAAGCCTGTAATACATCTAAGAGCTGATTTACACTTCAGTTTGAACTTTGGTGCACAGTGTTTCAACCACTGTATGTAAACCACTTTGTAAAAGATTCTGTACAGATACAGACGTTGATATGTATGTGTCTGACCACTGAGTCCCTCTGTTTCCAGTGGTAGTGATCACACAAAATCCTTTTTATAAGCTCACCAAACTCCTCAATACTTGTTAGGACTTTACTCCCCACTACTGCTGTTGGAAAACTTCATTCAAAACCTTACTTCTCCAGTGATTATAACACTTATGCTAATTATCAGCCCAGATATTCAAGAGTGGTTACACTTCTTTTGTATTCGAGCTATCATTGTTATTTAGTTTCAGACTTATTTTCTATTCTTGATCTTTTGACTCTGACTGATTATATAAAGAACAATTGCATTGTTTTGCAGCATTAATTTTGAAAAAATAAGCAATTTAGCTGGTTTAATCCTCTCCTGTCGTATAGATTCTCCATTTGTCTCATTTTCGTTCAGACCCTTCCCTGCTCCTATTTCTAGTTTGCATTAAGCTTATTGAAAGATACTCGTACCTGGTATACACAAATAAGTATCTTGCTAACATAACAAACAATTGTGTTAATGTAATATACAAAGCAAGCATATGTAGAATGTTCTATTTTATTTATGTATTAAATATATGCATATGTTAGATGATTATATATAAAAAATATATAAATATACTCTATATATCCTATATATTTATATCTATAATATGCATTGTATAGTATGTTGATAATATATGTATATGGTATATAAAAATAATGTAGCATGCGTACTATTAATACAGTGTTATGCTAATCTATAACTAATTTTACATACAATGTTTCTTAATTTCTAATGAAATTAGGTAAGTTGGTATATCTGGCATTTCCACTGCTTTACCATTTCAGTAGGAGATAGTTATCATGTAACTTTTCTATGAATATGAGGTTGACTTTTTGAAATATTTGATCTTTTCTGTGGCTGTCTCAAAAATAAGGAAAAGCGCTTTAAAAGTAAGTGTGACATTTCTGTTGCTTGTTTGTTTGTTTTAAATAAATGTATTTATTAGACCAGATCTAATTTTCCAATACAAATGAAGTGTTGCTTTAAACGGTTCTCTCAAGGCAGGGGGTTGAGGTGGGAAGGTGAGATGATCAGAGGATGTTTGTCCAGTTCTTTGGTGTTGCTCAGTGGGTAGGAACAGTCTGCACAGTCGCTCTGTGCTGAGGCTGATGGAAGCTGGCCAGCCAGCAGCCAGCATAGCATCTGCTGCTACCTGATAGAAAGCATCCCGCTGAGAGAGGCGGGATGGAGTGGTAGAGATAGCAGCTGTAGGAGAAAGACAGGGGGTGGAAGAAAGCAAGATGGGCTCAAATGCTGGATAGTTTTGGCTCTCCAGAATCCAGCTGTTCCACATAGGCCTATACTTGTTATTCCAGCAACTGACATCACGGGGGATGCTTCTTCTAGAAGATGCTCTTGAGCAAACCCTGCTGAATATTTATGTGAGCAGACGGCTGTCCTTCTGCAAAAGAAGACAGAGTTCATGGAGCTTTGTAAGGGCAAATTCTGTATGCAGAGCCCTACTATTTCGTGAGACTGCACTGCAATTTGTAGCAAAGTATTCTCAGTTAAGATTCCCCACTTTGAAGTCTGTATTTTGTCCTACGCTGGTACGCTTCTTGAAGGGGGAAGCAGTCAGTCTCAGGTGTTCCAAACACTGCAGTACTTAAAATACATGCAGAAATATTTTTATTCTTAAACAACTGACGTCCTTTCTCAACAAAGCATGATCATCACGTTTAATCAAATCTAAAATTCATTTGAAATGGCTAGGTGAAAATCTTCCTGAACTGGTGTTTCCCTAGTAGTTGGGAATATCTCCAGTAGGTGAGAATCCTGTCTTTTTTGGTGACTTCTTTCTCAAAGATTGGGTCTCTATTCTCTAACTGTTTTCCTGCCAGAAGATTATTTCAGTTAAGTGTCAAGTGGAATTAAGTTATTGTTTGTTTAACAAAATGAGCAGAGAGTATCAGTTTTACCAAGTACTTTATTCTTCTTATGTTACTTGTATATATGTATACTTTTCATTCACAGGAAAACTAACAAATAGAGGCCAGCAAAAACTAGAAGGGAATGCATAATAATAATAGCTAAAATTTTCTTCTGCCCGTGGTGGCAAGGATGTAAACAAGGGAAAGTATAAAAGTGTAAACAAGGGAAGGCTTGTGAGAAGCTGTGAGATGGTATCTTTTCTTAAACCAAGTGAGAAAAGATTTTGGCCAAGCCCCGTTTCAGCTCTTAAATGGCAACAGCAAATTAAACACCGCTGCAGAATCCTTGCTGTGAGATTAACCTGATGAAGCTAAGTCTTAGTAGTGTCTTATTTTGGATAGTGATCTTTTGCAGAACTTGGGAGTTAACTGCTGGAAAAGTTCATGGCTCTTACATGGCGTCACGGTAAAACACCTGAAGCAGCTACAGGCAGCAAGAGCCTTCCCGTACGGCCACTACCGCTGCACGCGATGGAACGCCGTTCCTGTTTTGGTTTGTACCTAAAATTCCCTTTGCCGCAATGGTTTGTGGTAACTGAAAGCTGCTGTATCTGAAATGATTACAATGATAACTTTGTCTGAAGTTACATGTTTGTTCCTCCTTTGTCTAGGAAATTACTGTAATGAGCAGAGAGCACTTTAATTTCTAGCAGTTTGGTTTTGCTAGATAGATGTTGTTAATGGGTCTTAAGGACGGTGCACCTCAGGAGTTGTAAATTTTCTGTGAAGTACGTACAGAGGTGGTGTCTTGGTTTTAATATTTGCAACTTCTGTTGGGGAAAACTGGCATGTAGTAACTCCGGCCATCAGCCCGTCTCCATCTACTACAGTTGCGGCTGTTGGGTAGCAGTCAGCCCTAGTCTGGTGTGAACAGCCCAAGAGTCAAAGTTACGCGTTAGGAGGGGAGTCGTGGTGGGGTTTTATTGTTGTTGTTTCACACTTTCAACTCCACAGAATGTGCCCTTCTGAAATATAAGTAGGACAGGTGCTAGAAGAATATTTGAAAGCTGTCACGCTATTAACTAAAGAACTTGGCTGTTGGCGCAGACGCCAGAGTAGCTGGGGAGAGGGGTGGATGCGTTCACTTCTGCTACGCCACGTGCCTGCGCAGCCGGGGGTAGCGTGGCGCCGCCCCCAGCCCGGGACAATC